TTTTAAAAAATGAGCGCTGCTAAAGGGAAGCAAAGATGCTGCAAGCTTCAGGTTGGCATCCAATTTGCACGAGTTTCACTTAGTTTGAGTGCTAATGGGAGGCATGAACGAAATGGGGCAAAGTGGGCAGGCATCCAGTCATTAGCACTTGTAAAGCAGAGAGTGAGTCACGCTTCCAGTCAGAGCTAACTTATTTTCCTGTTCACCAGTTATAGGTCTGCTCTTATTCTCACGTCTGCAGCAGGGCTTACGAGAAACCCCTCTCTGCTTTATAGAGGATGATTACAGTGTTTCCTGATGAAGCTGAATAACACCGAGGGTTACATGCCCCTGCTGTTATGCTTATTGGTCAATATAACTCTCCACCTCTCTTTCAGGCTCATTCAGAAAAGTTTTTAATTCAAAACACCTTCAGAACGAACCGTCTACCTACCTATACTGTAAATTGCAGTATCAGATCTTCTTGTTTCCTCCCCCCAAAAGCAGCTAGTGATAAAATTGAAGCAATCAGAGCCATTATTTGTCGACTGTTTTACCGGTGCAGTTGCAGATGTTGGGGCTAAAGGGGAAAACATTTAAGGGCTGTGATTGATGATTTGGGGATAATGAATCAAGCTTGTAACCATTTCAGAGCACTGTCACAGGCCTCGGCATGCTTCCACTTGAGAACAGCTGGGTCTGGAAACAGCAAAACAGGGAGCAGTTTTCCTCATGCTTCCATCTCCTCCTGTCTTCTCTTGTTGCTGGTTCACTGCCACAAATGGTTAGAGCGTTGTTGTTTTCTGGAAGGCAATCAAGGATATGCACAAAGCAGAAGATGGAAAATGTAACATTTATGCTGATAGGAGTGAAAAAGATGATCAAGTGGAGTCTCCTCTAACAAGACTTGATGTCAGCAATGTGAGGTTCTTGACTGAACGAGCCCCGGGAGCAACATTTTTAAAATCTTGTGAAATTTAATCACTGGAAACTGTCATTTTTGAAAGGTTAGACACATTGGAGAGAAAATATGTAGAGTAAAACGTACAAGGAAATCTCCATAGACCACTTACAGTATCTGTGGTAAGAAAGGAAAAGTATTTATTTTCTATTTTAGAAAATCAGCTTAAGCAAAAATGGCCACTGTTCATGGGTTTTAACATCTCAATTTTTTCCTTTAAAACAAACATCTTTGGGTTTAAAACCGCCGGCCAAAGGAAACAAGCAGATTTCAATGTGTCACTTTGGGATTTTAACAAACTGTTCACAAAAGAAATTTGATAGTGACAGTTCAAAACGGCCTGCTTATTTTTCCTACTATTTAAACTTGAAACAGAAAAAGAGCTGACTATTAAAATATATACAATAAGATAAATCTAAAATACACAGATCACCCTATTTTTCTCACTTTTTCAGTCCAAGCTCAGGTCCACTGAGGCTTCTTCACAATATTGTAGTCTTAGCTGTTCCCAGGGTGCCTACATAGCTGCCCACTGCTCCACCTGGGTGTGTATCATGTGTGATGGGGTAAATGCAGAGTTAATATTACAGAGTGCACAATTTTGTCATTGTATGAGAACATATAACGATGACAACACAGCACTTTCTTTCTTCTTCTAATGGTAGGGGGTGCATTGAAGCCTCTCGCATAGGCAGTTTACAAATCTGAAAAGACATCACATATGTAGAAAATAATTTATGGGATTTAGAACAACATAGGCTTTTTCCAGACTCTTTTTCAAAGAAGGTCATGCATATTTCAGCAAGACAATGTTAAACTGAAAACTGCATCCATTACCAAAGCTGGGCTCATAGTCTGGATGATAAACTGGCCTGCCTCTATTTTACATCAGATATTAATCTTTTTAATGCCCTTCTGTTTATGTTTAGTGTACAAAGACCTGTAACATGTTAGTTTATTTTTGTATAATAGGAAAAGGCCAAAGCAGGTCAGTCCCTGTTGGCAGCACAAACAATGTATCTTAAATTACAAGCAGAGCAAAGAAAGAATGTTTTATTTCACAAATCTCTCTGATTGGAAGATGGTTGTCAAAACAAAACCTTGTTACCATAAAATGGCTTTTAATTTGCTCAAAGGAAAAACAGAGCACATGGCCCTTGAGTTCATTTGGCACATTTATCGAATTAGCTTTGTTTGTCTTTCAGGCCTGTACGCTGGCTCCAGCACCCCCCACCATGGCGCTTCAGTAGAGCTCCTGTCTCCTACCCCCAACCCAGCCTCCGTCTCCGACCTGCCAACCCGGCAGCTTCGAGTTGATCGAGACCTGGGCAGCCCTCATCACCTGCCTGTCATGGATGGCGTAAGGGACAGGTGAGTCCTGTATGTGAAATAAGATGTTACATGCTCAGCTTCTCATGGTCACTAAAGAGGGTGGGACAGTAAGAAAAGAGTCAGGAGGTGCGGGAAGTAAAAAACAAACCTGTGATAAGTGTTTGCACTAATTAATGACAGAGAAGTATTCATTCTTCCATCCATTCTCTTCCACTTATCCGGGGTCGGGTCGTGGGGGTAGCAGCCTAAGTACCATACCATACCATTTTATTTATAGAGCACTTAAAACAGTGACAAGGCCAACCAAAGTGCTGTACAGACAGAACAACAGGTAACGCACAAAGCAATATACAAAATGAAGTAAATCAGAAATATAGACATAAAAACGGGTTTTTAAACGGGACTTGAAAACCGAGAGGGAGGGGGCCTGTCTGACAAGCAGAGGTAACTCGTTCCAAAGTCTTAGTCCTGCTACAGAGAAGGCCCTGTCGTAGGGAGGCCCAGACTTCCCTCTCCCAAGCCATTTGGTCCAGCTCCTCCAGGGGAATCCCGAGGCGTTCACAGGCCAGCCGAGAAACATAGTTCCTCCAGCGTGTCCTGGGTCTTCCTCTGGGTCTCCTCCTGATGGGACGTATCCGGATCACCTCACCAGGGAGGCGTCCAGGAGGCATTCTAAACAGATGCCCGAGTCATCTCAACTGGCTCCTCTCGATGTGGAGAAGCAGCGGCTCTACTCTGAGTCTCTCCCGGATGACCAAGCTTCTCACACTATCTCTAAGGGAGAGTCCAGACACCCTGTGGAGAAAACTCATTTCGGTCACCTGTATCTCTGATCTAGTTCTTTCGGTCACAACACAAAGCTCATGACCATAGATGAGGGTAGGAATGTAGATCGACCGGTAAATTGAGAGCTTCGCCTTTTCACTCACCTCTCTCTTCACTTCTCTTCCTCTGTACAGCGCCTGCTTCACTGACAAAACTGCATCTATCTACCTATCGATCTCACGCTCTATTTTTCCCCTCATTCGTGAACAAGACCCTGAGATACTTAAAATCCTCCACTTGGGGCAGGACCTCCTCCCCGACCTGGACAGGACACTCTACCCTTTTCCGGCTCAAGACCATGGCCTCGGATTTGGAGAAACTGATCCCCATCACGGCCGCGTCACACTCGGCTGCAAACCGCTCCAGCAAATGCTGTAGATCACGATCTGATGAAGCCAATAGGACCACATCATCTGCAAAAAACAGAGAAGCTAAGGCCACCAAAACGGATCCCCTCAACACCTTGGCTGCACCTAGAAATTCTGTCCATAAAAGTTATGAACAGAATCGGTGACAAGGGCAACCTTGGCGGAGTCCAACTCTCACTGGGAACGAGCCCGACTTACAGCCGGCAATGCGGACCAGGCACTGGTCAGTTTGTTTAATTACGTCGCTCCAGATACAAACACTTGCATGGAATTTAAAAATCACCGGTCAGTGCCTGGTCAGGGACCTAACATCCCATATCAAAGGGGTCTGATACCCCATACTCCTGGAGTACACCAAAAATGCATTAGGTACCCAGCTTCGTATTACTTTGGTACTAGAATTAGTTGAATGTCCATCCGTCTGTCTGTCCATTCATCATCTTTATCCTTTTCTTTCTTTCCGGGTCATGGGAGAGCTGGAGTCTATCTCCAGCAGTCACTGTGAGAGGCAGGGTACACTGGACAGATCTCAAGTGAATGCGATTCCAGTTTTCTTCATAATGCGTTTTAAATTATATTGGTCAGCCTTATTGTTGAGATAATGGTTTATTAGCTCACTTCCTGATTTATTTATGCAACTTTCTGACTCAGAGTTATCATTCTCCAAACGAAGTGTTCAGAGAAATGTTGAAAATTTCAATTTTTTTAAAACATACTAGAGGCAGATTTCTTTTTAAAGCAGGAGGTAATTTTGTGCATCTATAGAAGATTTTGAATTTTAGGCATCAAACTAAGAAGTTGTACTATCATACAGCAAGTTATACAATAAATAGAGAATCAACATGAATGTATAGATAGGTAGATATATATATATATATATACACACACACACACATGTAGGAGGGAG